CCCTCAACCTCAACCTCAACCTCACCCCCTCACCCCCTCACCCTCTCCTTCTCCTTCTCCCTCCCCCCCTGGCTTCGAAACAACTCATAACACTTCTGTCCTACCACCAACTCTCACAACCCAACAGTAACCCCAGTGGTCAACACCCCCCCCCACGCCAAAAAAAAAAAGGATCAAGCAACCCTCTTGAATATAAATTAACTAATTAACTAAATATCATCACCCAAGCAAGCAATGGGTATCTGTTTCTCTTCCAACTCAAACCGCTATCCCGTCGATGGAAACACAAGCGCAAGTAGGGATCGGTCAGTAGTGCACTCACTTCTTCCTCTCCTTCAGACCACACTTCTTGAAACTGAACCGCTTCCCCATCACAGCTCATACGCCATCGATAGACAGATAGAAGAGGATGCCAAGAAATTCAAGAGGGAGTGTAAGATCCTCCTACTCGGTTAGTACTAGTACCCTCAATTTAACAAATCTAAGAAAGAAACCGAAGAGAAAAAAAACAATACTCATCTCAAAAAAAAAACATCATCACAGGATCTGGAGAGTCAGGAAAATCAACGATTGTCAAACAAATGAAAATCATCCATCAAAACGGATACACTCGCGAAGAATTGCTACTATTCAAGCTGACGATCTACAAGAACATCATCGACTCAGCGCAAGCCGTGGTAGTCGCGATGAGGAAACTGAAACTAGATCCGGTCGAGTCTGTCAACCAATCCTACTCAGACATGATCCTCGACTACCGCCTCGATTTCAACCAACACGGCGGGGGCCTGAATCCGGAAATCGTGCGGTCTATCGAATCGCTCTGGCATGATCCTATCATCCCTGCCGTACTCGACCGGGGAAGTGAATTCTACCTGATGGACTCGGCCGGATAGTATGTTGAAGCTCCTCTATCTGGGAGATCTACCCGACGTTCGACTGATTTGAGACTTTCTTATAGCTTTTTTGATCACGTACACCGGATCGGTCAGATGGACTATATCCCTAATGAAGTAGACGTCCTGATGGCCCGAACCAAAACCACTGGGATCTCAGAAACCAAGTTCAAGTCCGGTCAACTTAGCATTCAGTTCAGTCGGATCATCCTCTCTCAGAGCTATTAACCTGTGTGCTTCAAAAGTCACTAACTCAGATTTCTTATCCTATTAGCATGTTCGACGTTGGAGGTCAGCGTTCGGAGCGGAAAAAATGGATCCATTGTTTCGAGGCTGTGACCTCGATTATTTTCTGTGTGGCATTGAGTGAATATGACCAAGTCCTACTGGAGGAGAGCGGGCAGGTAAGAGAGGCTGGAGCAGTCTCACCTCCATCTGACCAAATGAATCCTGACCTCTCCCCTTTTTTTTATCTCTCTCTCTTGATTAACAGAACCGCATGGCAGAATCGCTAGTCCTATTTGAATCCGTCATCAATTCGCGTTGGTTTCTACGGACATCGATAATCTTATTCTTGAATAAGATCGATATCTTCAAGGCCAAGTTACCCAAAGTACCGCTCGAACGATACTTCCCAGAATACACGGGCGGGAACGATGTGAATAAGGCAGCTAAATATATCCTGTGGAGGTTTACTCAGTTGAACAGGGCGAGACTCAGTATTTATCCTCAGTCAGTCTCTCGATTTATCTCCCTCTCTTTCTCTCGCCCGCCTGGATCATCCTGGGCTTCTCCCCTCCTGCAATCAGCTGACTCTTCCCACGATCTCTCAGTTTAACACAGGCTACGGACACATCAAATATTAGATTGGTCTTTGCAGCAGTCAAAGAAACAGTTGCGTGATTTTATCTTGACTTTGGTTTACCTGTCAGTTGAATTACTAACGTGACTTTTTCCCTTATCAGATATTGCAGAATGCCCTACGGGATAGTGGAATTCTCTAACAAAAAAAACCCCCTCTCGCACCAAAAAACAATTTAAAACATAAACTTCCTAAAATAAAACCTAATGGAAACTGAAGCTGTTAATTCATTGAGTTGGCTTTCCCCTATCCCACCCCCTCTTGCGCCTTCATCCTATAACCTCTGTCCCCTTATCTCTTACGTTCTCTCGCTCGCCTTGTCTGTCTCTTGCATAGGAAAACAAAACAAATCAAACATAATCAATTGTTATTTCTTTTTTTTGTTGTACTACTTTTTCATGATTGACTGTTTCTGTAATCCTGATCTTTGACTCTCTTCTTTCCTTGGCTGTCTGCTCTCTTCATATCTCTCCTCTCCTCTCCTCTCCTCGACCTCTCCCTTCTTCTTCCTCATAAATACTCTTGCCATAAGCTCACCTCTCTACATATATGTACATGGAACAATTTTCTTTTAATGTAGGAAAGCAACTAATTTCATATTTTCTGTTTTTTCTTTTAATTTTCTTTTCTTTGTTTACATTTTTTTCTTCATTCTTATTCTTTTTGTTTTGTTGTTGCTTACAATCTTTTCTTTTTACCATCATCATCATCATCGTCATCATCATCATTTTTGTCATTTTTGTCATCATCTCTGACATTTTGTTTTTCTTTTTTTGTTTTGCTCATGATCACAAGACTATATATACATATTTCTATTTCTATTATTTCTTTTTTCTTTTTTGCATTGTTGGTTGATTTTCTCCTTTTTTTGTTCTTTGCAATTGCGCTGTCATGTGGTTTTTTCTTGTTGATTGGTCATTGGATTAATTGAATGGTTAATTGATTGATTAATTGGATGGCTGTTGAATGTTGAATTTACTATGTCAAATACATACATTGTTTTTTTTTTCATGTTTACATGCAGATTATATAGATATTTACTCAGAAGCTCATTTGCAATTTTTTTTAGTCAACACTTCGACTTGATAATTAGGAAAAATTTCAATAGAGATGAATTGGGTTGGAGATTCTCTCTTAATCTTTTTAGGGTCTTAGCTAATCGACTCCCAAAAAGTGGAGGATCGACTCCCAAACCCCGAAACCCCCGGAATTTCCACCGAAATCCCCGAGGAATGGGAGTCGATCCCCCAAACCCGTCAGCGGGTTTGGGAGTCGAAAACCCACTAATTTTAATAAAAAAAAAGGCCAACCCCCGAAGGGGTTGGGGGTCGATGTCCCAAAACCCACTGGGTTTTGGGTGTCGCTTACCAAAAAGGGCCCGCAACGGCCGGGAGGAATTCTCCCGGCTGGGTGTCGCTTACCAAAAAGGGCCCGCAACGGCCGGGAGGAATTCTCCCGGCCGCTGATGGCACACCCTCAGCGGCCGAGAGAAACACTCTCGGCTGCTGAGAGTGTACACTCTCATCGGCTGGGAGAAACACTCTCGGCCACTGAGAGTGTACACCCTCAACGGCCGGGAGAAAACCTCTCGGCCGTTGAGAGTGTACACTCTCATCAGCTGAGAGAACACTCTCGGCTGATGAGAGTGAACACTCTCATCAGCCAAGAGAAACATGTATCCTCGGTCATGGAGGAGTCAAATCCTCCATGACCAAGGGTGTATCCTCGGTCTTGGAGCAGTCAAATCCTCCATGACCGAGGGTGTATCCTCGGTCATGGAGGAGTCAAATCCTCCCTGACCGAGGGTGTATCCTCGGTCATGGAGGAGTTGAATCCTCCATGACCGAGGATACATATTCGGTCATGGAGGTTTCACTCCTCCATGACCGAGGGTGTATGCTCGGTCATGGAGGAGAAGTACCCCAGACGGCCCGGCCAACTAACCTGGACCGGATGGTACCCCCAACGGCAGCCAGTCAACGCCAAACAGTAGTCAGCTCATGTTTCTCCCGGCCGATGGGAGTGTACACTCTCATCAGCCGAGAGTGTTTCTCTTGGCCGATGAGAGTGTACACTCTCATCGGCCGAGAGTGTTCTCTCGGCTGATGAGAGTGTACACTCTCATCGGCGGGGAGAATTCCTCCCGGCCGTTGCGGGCCCTTTTTGGTAAGCGACACCCAAAACCGGACATCGACCCCCAACCCCTTCGGGGGTTGGCCTTTTTTTTATTAAAATTAGTGGGTTTTCGACTCCCAAACCCGCTGACGGGTTTGGGGGATCGACTCCCATTCCTCGGGGATTTTGGTGGAAATTCCGGGGGTTTCGGGGTTTGGGAGTCGATCCTCCACTTTTTGGGAGTCGATTAGCTAAGACCCTCTTTTTATACAGCTGTCAATCTGGACTGGAGGCAAACTTGACACAAGTTTTGTTGTGGTGGGCGCATCTGGCAGTGTAGCGCTGGCCAGGTGGTTCCTGCAGGGAGACTCATGCCAGAGGTCAACAAGCTTGCTTGCTGAGAGCATCCGCATCAGTCGTCAACTTAGCTCGGATTAAGGCACTTAATCCAACTGCGCAACCGCATTGGATCTGATTAAGACAGGATCAACTTGATCCAGATCTCCATTTGGAGCTAGTGGGGTCTAAATCTACACCCCACTAATCCTGGGAATAAGTCCTGCATGCATATTCAAAAGGCATGAACACATACAAACTAGCTCCGATCAAGTCGGATCAACTGACCTCAAATACATAACACATAGATTTAAGCCACCTCAGCCACCACTGATGCGGCTGAAGGCCGAGATGACCTTAATCTTGTCCTAATCCGAGCTCGCTAATCCAGTGTAACTTGACCACTGATGTGGATGCTCTGAGTTTCAAGTGCTTTGATGGGAGTGTCACAAGATTTGCAGTCATGATGATGCTCCCTCAAAACTTGATCAATGTCTGGCCTGGAATTCTTGAAGTGAGGCAGCCAAGATTCAGAATTCAAACATCACATTAATGGTAATCAAGATTGATTTTCTAAAATCAATGTTTGGATTTTTTTTATGCTGACATAATTGGTTTGATGAACTCTTGCACACCCCCAAAAAAAAGCTTGACTTTGGGTGAAAAGTTGTCATTTTCAAAAATACCTACATATGTCAAAATTGACAACCTGGCAAAATAATCTGAGCAGAGGGAAACATGTATGTGCAAGAAGCAGACCCTCCTTGGTCCACAAGGAAATTAGATAATAGTGAATGGGGAAGTACATAGGCAGAAAAATACACAAAAAAACAGCTTCCAAGCCCATTAAATTTGAGAACTCACCATGTGGGGATTGTTGTATTTGTCATAGGCCTCCACAGGTGTGGACTGCTCTGCTGTTTGCTACCACTCCTGCTGTGGAGGCCTAGTTGAGCTTGTACTGAATGTCATTAGTGGAGCACTTGCTGTCAACAGATCTGCAGGCCCCCCCCCAGAATCCATATAAGCCCTTTTGCCAAATGGAGAAGAGAATGATGGAGGTACACGCTCAGTGCGTCTACACTGCACAAATTGTATCATCAGGCAAGCCAGCCCAATGAGTGCTTGGACTGATGTTGCCCAACAAGTCCTATTGTGCGGCATCACTGGGCTGCTGAACTTGTTGGACAAAGTTTGTCCAAAGACTTGTCAGACTGGCTTGTCCGACAAGTTAGTTTATGCAGTGCTATATCATCCAATAACAAGACTGGTAAAAGAAACAAGCAAACATATTAGATCTGTACCACCAAAGGTATTTTTCTGAACTGCAAGATCTTTGCAAGGATTGGCCCCACTTTGCCAATCAATAATTCATCCATATTGTTGCTGTTGAAGTTTTGAGCTCTGAACCGGCTGAAGTCTGAAGACTTTTTGAAAGATTTTGGAAACTGAAGAATTTCATTTCTTATAAGCTAAAGTCTTCATTTTGATTGTTACAAGATTTTTGATAAGAGAATTATTCTTTTACCTGAAGGCAGAATAATTCTAGGCTAGATGTAATGATAACTTTGAGGTAAGAAGAAGAATATAATAATAATAATAAATTTTTCTTTAAGTAAGAGGAAAGAAAAAGAAATAGTAAAGCAATAGTTCAATGATTAGTTAACATTGATGCTAGTAATAATAAAGTGATCAAACAAGAACTTTACTTGATTGATTTGTATAATTGCCTTATACGGTGAATCACTTTGCATTATTAACTGAGGAATCTAGATAATGATAAAGTATTTTATTACTTTAGTTTTCCTTTTATTATTTCTCTTTCATTATATGAAAGGCTATAATGTTTACTCACCAAATACAGGTGGAAAAATTTGGTCGGCCAATTTGATCGTTTCGGCGTTTGTGACTTGAGAGCTAGAATGAGGAGATGATTTTACGAGGAAAAGAGATTGTAATCGTTTAGGATTCAACATCATCTTTTTTCTCTAATCATGATCATTGAAACTCACCTAGAGTTTGATGACATGTTCATCTCGTCATTGACATCATGATTCAATTCACAAGCCTTACGCTTGGCATACTCTTGCTCATCTAGTGAGCAGCTGTTATCTGTACATGATCAAAATAACATGATCAGTAAGATTTAGTTTTCTAGATAGTTTGATAACTAAGGTTATCAACCTACCCGCAATTCTCCTTTTACAAGGGCTGACGCAAGGAGCGTAATTCCAACACTTTTGAGAAAATGACACAAAAAAGGTTGATGGCCTTTTTTGGGAGAGGTTCACGGAAAAAGAATGAACAAACCAACGTTTTCATTCACAAGTGGATAGCCAGATTAAATAGACTAAATACATGTGATCAAACTGTGGTTGAGGCAAATTGAATAAAAAAGTAATATTGAATGAAAACTAAGAGACAGAATAATTTGAAGTCTTGGAAGAAACAATCTTAGCCGGACTTCTCAGTCTCTTTTAGTCAGACAAGAAAAGTTAATCAAGACAAATCAGAAATTCTACTGCAAATATTTAGAGGTGTTAATTCTAAATAATTAGCTTTCAAGAATCAAATAATGAAAATAGAAAAATAAAGAAGGCAATCATTAAGAAAAGAGTTGTTGATAAATTGCTATGGTGAGTTCTAATTAGACTACTAAGATGCATAAGATTCAACAAAAACCCAGCTACGACAAACTATAATTCAGTCCATTTCAAGATGATTCAAGAAATAAAAAGGTGAAAAAAGTAAAGGAAAGAGGGACTGATTTTGGGGAAGAGTAGGCAAAGAGGTGAAACCTCAACAGTTGCTCCTTGATCCCTAACTATGAGCTTCCTTCTATTGTGATAATTGTCTGTGATGGTGCTTCTTTACTTGAACTTTTACTCTTGACCATCATTTCAAGAAATGCAAATTTTGACTGCTTGCTGGGATGTTTGGAATATACTCAGAACTCTTGTTGCAGCCCCTGAAGACAGCACAGCGGCATTTCTGCAATCTGCACCATTAGGACAGTTCACATACTGCTGATGCTGGAATCAACAGTCAAACCTTGATTTAAATCTGAGTTTTTTGATGCCTTGGAAAGCAATAAGGTTTGGTGAGAAGGTCCCCTTGAGAAGCAAGATCCCACAGTAAAAAGTAACTGATATTGCCCATCAGTAAGCAAACCTTGCTTCATATCAGCATTGGTTTTGGTGGAACATGAACCCCCTTTATTGGCAATGCTGGATCAAATACAATATATCACATTGTGTATTGGGATTGCCTATCACACAGATTTCCAAGACTGTATCTTCTATCTGATAACAGATCCATCAAAAATACTTGTATTCCAATACAACACAGGGTGGATTTTCTCAAATGCTTCATGTCTTGTACTGTATTGAGAAGAAAAATACACATACTTAGGAATATCTGTTTTGTATCTGATTGCAGATACCAAAGAAATAAAGACCATGGATGAGATAGAGATGGGAGAGGTATTTTTTGACTGGTCTCAATGAACAACTCACAGAGGGTCTCAGAGTAGGCACAATGTAACATGGGGAAGAGCCAATGGTGATCATTTCTTGTATCTTAGTCAGTTTGAATATACTATGTATAAGTGTGATCAAGATGTGTTTGAGGAAACAAAAGGAACATGATGGAAGAACAAAAAGACATCAATTCATTATGATATGCATCAACAAGAGAGTGCACAGGCAAGGAGATAAGATTTAGCTAGAGAGCTGATAAGCCCTATTCTTCAGGGTTCTTCGACTAAAAGAAGATGGGTCAGAAATGTATAACATGTACTAAATACAGACCATAGTGAATGAGAACTTTGGGGCAATGGAATCAAAGAGAATGTGTTTTTTGGGATGAGTAAAAAAGTATCAAAATTCATACAGATACATCAAGATACATGAGACCCTGGCACCATATTATTATAGAGTGCTGTTGTTAAGGATGGCAATTGGGCTTCAGTGGTGAATACTTATTCAGCGCATGACATCTCAAGATCAAAATACCAGATTTCAGACTTGATTCTCATTATTTATTTTACTTTTCAAATTGTAACTGCCATCAAGGGACGTGGGCCAGGGAATGGTGTGCATTAATCCCAGCAGGATATGTATTGATTATTTTGTATAAGTGTATTTTCAACCTGGTAAACCAATTGGCAAGTATGCATACTGATACACTTTGCCCTTTTTCATAGGTCTGCACTATCCAACTTGTGGCTCAGAGGCTGTGCTACCTTAACTAAGTCCCTGCCCCCCTTTATTGGAGTGGTAAACCACTTGTTGCATTTTGCAGACTGGCGGGAGGGACTTATGCCTAAAGTTAACCCTGCGGCCTGAGAGCATTAGGATTTTTGGGTGGGAGTTTTTTGTAATCCATCTGACACAAATTTGTTGGAGTATATGCTTATACTGTTGTATGCTTCTATCAAACCACATGACAAATCCTGTATCTAGTTCCTCTCAGGATTACTCTAGAAGTTTCTCCTCCAGTGAATCTAAACCAATCTTTTCTTTTCACTCCTAAAGTGTCACAGACAATCTGTCAGTGAACTTCAACAAAATTTGATTGATTGATGTTTCTTCTAGTTTTCAGATTGGGGATCATTCAAGCTGTCCTCATCTATGTACTAATTTTTCTAATGGGAAACACATCTCTTTGATTAATAATGATGATTGTAACATTGCCAATTTCAGATACTGCACAGTGCAAAATGCGTGATGCAGGATGGAGCAGGAGCCACAAAAAAGGCACATTGAATGCCACACATGGGCCTTAAAAATCAAGAAAAATACATAATGATTCTCCATGATCTGGTGCATCTTTTGCTTCCCCAAAACATGATAATCAGGTGGAAAATGGTGCTGCTATACATGATTGAAAAAGGTGGTTTTCCTAATTCTCTCAGGCCACAAAGTTGACTTTGCACATAAGTCCCACCTTTGGTGGGTCCCTGCAGGACAGCCCCCCCCCCCCTCCAATTGGAAGGATTTAGTTAAGTTTGGAGGCTGTGATGCTCAGCCACAGATCAACAGCAAAACTGCCGCCCCATTTGGTTCTCCAGAATTTGTAATTAGGAGGCAAGGTTTGGCATGAGTTCAAGAAATTTTTTAAATTGTTTTATACTTTGGGGCCAAATGGGGCCTGAAACACATCAGCCATGCAAAATTTGTGTAATGACCATTCCGGCAAAAAGGAAAACAGAAAAGTGTCAATGATTATGAATAAGGTAGATTATTGAAACTACCATTGAAATTCAATGTCTAGATATGTACATTGATTGGAAAAAATAGATCTGGCTTGAACAGGATGAACATCAGAAAGAAAATCTGAGATCCATGTTTCTCTCAAATCTCTCAGATCACCATCAGCCCTAATGAAGCTTCCATACCAACATGTGTGACATGAATTAAGAACCATTTCATCCATCATCTTGGTAAGAAATATTTTATCTAGATGGGTTACAAAATTTCAGTAAATGGTTCTCAAGGTTTGGTTCCCCCAAAATAGCGACGTGGTATCATTGCAAAGGATACCTGATGTGGCTCTCAAAAAGTATGACTTCCTCAAAACCTGCCTGTTGAGGTGCGCAACAAAAAAAAAAACCAGTCATGAAGCTTGGTAGGTTGTAAAAAAATTGCAGTTTGAAGAGGAGGCGAGTCAAGTATCTGACTCTCGGCGAGCTCAACCCAGTCGATAATTGATCTCAGCCTCACTGCATACGGCCGTTATTCAGATCGAGTTCTCTTTCGCATTGGTGGAGTATAGCGACTAGACTGCTACCGTCGGAGCCGTGGGGTTGGCAAGATGGGTCTGTGCGAGTTGTTGAGTGGGTGCTTCTTGTTGCAGTTTGGCTGTTAGCTCGGCAAGCTATACAGGATTGTATAATATATCTGGTTAGTTTTTTGGATTTGCTTTCTCTCGTGACAGATTAATCGCTTACGATTGGTCTGAGTCTATCCATATTAGCTTGAACCGATTCGATCTTCTTATCGACTTTCGATCTAAATAGATAATCAGAGCAATGTCAGATAATCATGATGTGCTGGTCAATTGATGATCTTGAGAGAAGAGGATGACTGAGACTGTTCATGTTTCAAGAACTCGATCCTTCGATTGATATTTGATTGAGACTCTGCCAAGTCTTGTTTGACGAGTACGTTTGCGATCGATTTGAAGATGATTGGTTTATCATCCGGTTTCAGGTTCTCGATCTGTTCCTTGACTGATTCGTTCTCGCTCAGTTGTGAGTCTAATGTCTGTCTGCTGTTGATCAATTTCTTGAGTTGTGCTTGTGATTCTTGGAATTCGGCTGTCGATGACCTCAGTTGTTCCTTCACCGTCGCCGTACTCGTCGTCGTCATATTCATCTTTGGTTTCTTCGCGGCGGTGTCCTTGGCTCTGGAGTTTCCCGCCGCGCGAGTGTAACCGGGCTCGTTACAGGTCTGATGGGACTATGTGAAAAAGCTGTGAAAGGCGTGCCCAAATAATTTCAAGTCAACACGCAGGCCCTCCCCCAGGGGGGCTATATAGCAATTTTGAACTCACATGGGTGTAAAGAGTTTGAATTTATGAGCACTGGTGATTTGGCTCAGTGGTTCTATTTTTTTCACATCTACATTATGGGACAGGCCTATGTAAAACCATATTCAAAGCCATGAGCATGGACTTGAGGTACTCCTAATTCATGGTTTCTGCCCCCTGGGCCACCCTGCTTAAAAGTTACCTTTTGCCTTCCAATAGGATGGTTCACATTTGAAAGATTTCAGCAAAATGTTTGTGTGAAACCAGCACTAGAGCATTTTGAGTTTGCATGCTGAAAATTGGCCTGTGCCTCTGCCAATTTTTAAGATTTTTTGAAACCAGCATGCAGAAATTTTATCCAAAATCAACAAGATGTTATTCAAATGTGAACATTCCCAATTATAGGGGGTTTCACAATTGAACTTTGAGGTGATTTTTAAGGTGTTTCTGATCTTGATTTTTTTTTTGTGGTGTGTGTGCAGCAAGTTGAGAAACCACTAATTGGGAGAAACTCAAAAAAAAAAAAATTAAAATGTTGCTCATAAACACCTTAAAAAGTTCAATGGTGAACCCCCCTAATAATAGGGGGGGTTCACAATTGAAATTCATGAAATTTTAAAGCACATTTGAGGGTCTGTATGAATAACTTTTTCAAAAATGAAAAAAGTTGACCTGATGGTTTGGAAACCCCAAATTGTGTCCAGATCTTCAAAATTCTAAAATATTGTTGAGAAAGACTTTGGAATTAACTTTAGCATCCTATAGGCATGAACGTTGCAAGATTTTTCAGGTTTTTGGTCTCAAAAATTTGGACAGGTGGCAGAAGTTATGCTGTTTGATGACGTTACGAAACCAAACACTCATGCGATTGGTCTCTGGTCACCAATTGATGACACCATACGAATATATGCCCGCAGCAGCCTGCTCTCGAAAGGATAGGACTCGGCCAGCTGACATCAAAATGAAGAAGAGGTCCGATGGGCTCAGAAGGCGGGATTATAGTCACGTTCTCGACACTTACAGGGAGGTGTCTGTCAAGAATAACCCTTTGGTCTCCGCATTCCACCGATTTGTAAGACTGTACTTGATAAATACGTATCCGTCACAAGCGACCGTTTTAAGGTTTAGGATGGCTGTGAATCGCGATTCCTGCCACCTGGTGATTCCTGCGGATGAGCCCGAAGAGTTTCATTAAAGCGCACATGACTGTGATTTTGACCCTGTGATGGCATCATGTCATGGTAAAGAACCCTGACAACAAAATTCGATTTGTTGGGCTCACACAGTCCAGCCAGCCAACCCTTTCGGACCCCTCGCGAGTTGCGTATGTTGTACAGTCGAGTTATCCAAGTGGAAGACATCGGCAGCCGAAGGGATCCTATCGCCACTGGCTGTGTTGGTTGATAGCCTGGTTGAAACCGCAGGGAAGGAATTGGCCGATTAAAGATTGCTGGATAGTGCAACTTGACCAAATAAAGCTCATTCTAAATATCCGACATAGGGGGACCAGAAATTCTTCCAAAAGACTTGAATGCCCTGGCTGGGTGATATCTGATATCTTACAACAACCACGTCATCCCGGAAAACTTTCTGTGCTTTGAGTGTCAGCTTGTACTTCAGCGTGACATCCCATCACCCAATCTGGTGAGATCTGGTGTCGAGTCAAGTTGTCGTTTTCCTTCAGATTTCTTCCAGCACCCAGGGAGAGAGCACCACCAGTCGTATCCTTGAGTTATTCTCCCACGATCGACTACAGCCATACATCCTCCGTGCCCTCTTCCTGCAACGATCACCCACACATAATCGACATCAGCAACAAATCTATCCCTTTCGGCCTGCTGTACGTACCGTCTGGTGGCGGTTTATAAATACCCTTCCATCCCTTAATCCGCTTCTTGCCCCATTTATATTCCTCTTCACCAGCTTCAGCAAATTTATGTTCCAATCATAAAAAATCATATAAACCTACCAAAAAAATAATCTCACCGCTTTTTCCTTTACTCCATCACCAACGGTAAATTTTTTTCAACGACCGCCTGACCAATAATCGAAAGTTTTGCCATTACTTCAACCAGATGACCGGCTCGCAGTTCACCCGTCCTAATCTCCCAGCTCAGCAAGGTCCATCGCATCTTGGCAGAACATCTGGAGAAGAAAATAGGCCGATCAATGCGCCGACTGAGTTGGAAGCGGATGAAAACCGATTGAGATTCGACAGATCGCGCATCCCGGTTTTCAACTCAGAAGCACCCCCAAACCGTCTACCTCCTGGCCAGTCGCCAGCTGCAAGATTGGATGATCAGGCAGACGCAATAGTACACGCTACTGCTCCGGTTTTCATCGATCGAAATTTATTCCCAAGATCCTCAGACTACCCCTCCGAACAAGTCCCGAGCGACTCAAGCTCGTTCATTCACCCGGCACCCCCATCTTATGAACAGACTATCCCCTCTGCCCAAATCCCCAACTTCGAAGGCCGAAGTGACCTGGGATCGAACTTGACCGATATCAGGAATCTTCCCAATCAAGTTGAAATCAAGAATCCATCGGGGAATCCTCAAACATTGCCGCAAGAAAATCCATTTGAATCATATCCCGGCCGATCTGTCACCAATGAACCTTCAAACAACGTGGCCGCGAGTCCGTACACTCATTTGGATCGGTCGATTCCCATCAAAGCTCATGCAAGTCAGTACCATGTCGCGGACAGTCAGCATATTGATGTAAGTCTTGCCGCTTTTTTCGACTCATGTGGAAGTAGTGTAACTTATCCTCTTCCTTCATTCTCCCTGCAGGATGATTCGGAAGCATCATTCGACGCTGAACACGGTGCTTCCAAGGCCCATTTCGAGGCCGATCGGCATCATTCAGAAGAGTCGCACAACTCTTCCGTCGAGGATGGCCATGACGAGCTAGTTCCCCATGCCGCCACACCATCTATAACCGCCTCTAGCGGAGGACCCAAAGATAAGCGTCTCAACGAAGTCGGTCCTCAGTCTCGTCAAGAGCCCTGTGAGGACCTCCATGCGGGACGGAGCCCTCATTATGGCTATCTTTCGACTCCGACAGGCGAACTCGACAAAGTTCACCGACAGGAAGATCCGCTATATGAAGCCGAACTCACGCCGTCAATGGATTTCTCTCACGGAAGAGCTGAAGAGAACCGATTTGATCCAGTTCGTCCTCAACCTCATGTCCAACAAGACGAACACTTTCAAGCGGGACGAAGCTCTACCATGAAAGGCAATACAGCTCCGAGAGGCGAACCCGAGAAAGGGCATCGACAACAAGATCAGCCACACGCGGGCGATTTTCAAGTTGAAAAGACAACAGCACACGAAATTGATCAAGCCCCTCCGATAAAGAAGTCGATTGCTACCTTTCACAGTCCCACCAAAGAGCACGATTTGAATGAATCGTCGAAGGACATTTTCTCTGCCCATCTCACCGCCGACCTTGATCCAAGACCAGAGTTTTCGTTCAGTCCACAAGTAACTCACTCTAAGCCCAACTCTCCGCAGTCCAGCGAAGCAAGCTTACCACTGCACAGCTCCTCTCGAGGTAGCAAGCATGACAATCAGTCTCTGTATAATAGTCCTCAGCCGGTCTTGCACACGGAGCAAGCAGTGCAAGATCACCTTTCGGATAACTTTTTTGCTGGTGATGCGAAAATCCCCGAGACGATTTTACCGAACCGCCAAGAGTCTAGCCAATCACGCTCCGATTTCTATCATTTCCCCCCCTATTCCTCTGGTCTGGATAGTGAGGCTTCTCAAGGTATCTCAAATTGCGACCGAGAGGAAGATCTGTCCCAGGAGTGCCGATCCGGAGATAGTGCAACAGATGACCAGGACCATCATCATCGTCAAATATCTGGCCCGTCCCCTGCGACAGAGAAAACTAGACGCAAGTTTTATTTCAACCCGGAATTGGCTGCTTCGAGGAACCTTGATGCCAACGAAACAACCGTCGCTATGAACATCGTTCCTCCGAACGAAGAAGTTTTGGATACCGAAGAAACTCAAGCCGCTTTGCCCGGTTTCGAATTGGTGAGCACCCTAAGTGAACATACACCTGTCGCTGGTAAGTTTTTTTTTTTTTTTTCTTTCTTTCGTCCTATTCCCCGAGGCGCCAGTTGGGGGGTGATTTGCTGATCAATCTATCATATCTACAGGTCAAGTCATGGGAGCACACACCGATGACAAGACTTATTCTACTCAAGCACACGACCGTACTGAGCACATTTCCGATTCCTCATCATCTGCAGACATCCCCATCGAATCCACTGTATCAGCAACTAATCAAGGACACGCGCGAAGCATTAGCATGACTCAACAATCTTCCTCTTCGGACAATCAAAACTCAATTATCATTTACTCCGACCACCCTCCAACACAAGAAACTCACGACACCATCAGCGAATCACCTTCTGGCAATTCTCAGCTGTTAGAAGAAATGCAAGGAAGCTCCTTGGACGACCAAGAGAGCCATAGAGTTCTTGACAAAGTGTTTGATTTCTCTTCGACTGATGATCAGCGGCACGATGAGTCATTGGACGCCTCTCAGAGCCCGCCAGAACAGTCCGAGGTGCCGATCCGCGAACCCCTAAGGCGTGAGCCTCCTGCCAACCCTAGTGTTCTTGTGACTGCCGAAAAAGAAAATCCAGAAGTCGGCTTTTTTAGAGGTTCAACATCCACCTTGTCCACCCGACCCTACCGCAGCTCCTCTCATGAATCCGAATCAGAAGTGTCGGGCGAAGCTGTGGAGACACTCGGAGAGCACTTGCGGCCGCGCCATTCCATCCTTGAGCCCGAGTCAGAAGCTGCCCAAGAGGAAGCGAGCTCCGATGGTGAAGTGGACTCGCATCATGAAGACAACTCGCACAACAGGGATAGATATGAGTTGGAGAATGTTATGGATGAGGAGGAGTTCCTACCACCAGGACAAGAACCGACTCCTTACGATATGGAAGGCTCAGAGGCTTCTTTCTCAGACGAAGACCTGGATTATTCCTACACCGGCGACGTCCCGACGACCCACCTCAGTACAATCACGGAACTCTCTGAGTCTTTGGCTGAAGCCCATCTATCCCGTTCCCCCCTGAGCCAGAACTGGCCTTCTCAATCAAGTCCCGCCGTGCAGCATGAATCGCACATTGACGAGGAACCCCTCGGATACACAGAAACACATCCAGTCCAACTCGAGCGCACAGCTTCACTCGCAGACAGTTCCCTCGCTGAAGATGTAAGGGAAGATATTCCACCCAGATTGGAAGATTCCAGCCAATCGCACGAAATAACGGTGGAACCCGATGACAACCAATCTCGTTCTTTGCAACGGACGAGCAATCAGGAATTGGCATCATCGTCTCACAATTCTCCCCGAGACATCCCGGTCCCGCAGGATGATGGAAGTATGGTAGAGCACGAGATGTTTGGACAGGAGGATTCCCTCAGCGATGTTGGCCATGAACACGGCCCGAACACTTCTACTGAACTTGACCAATCTTCTTACCTGAAGGAATCTGAATTGATTCCGGCTGCACATAACACTGAGTCCTTCGTTCCACCCCTTGCTGTTCCCACCGCGATCCCGGCAAACGAAGTTCAGATCAATCAATCTACCGTCTCCAATCACCAGAGCGCCGCCCAATCTGATTTCCACACTGAAGCGATGCTCACCGTCGACAATCTGGTTGATGAAGTTCTCAGTATGATTCCAGAACAAAACAACAAGTCTATCGTTCTGGATTCGCCGGTCCCAGCAGAAACTCATAGGTTAGTTGGCAATCCACCCTCTGCATTCGTCAAATCAACTGCTAATTTATTTTCCTTGTAAAGCTTTGATAACCGTTCAATCGAGCAGGAAGAATCCGGCCGAGCCACGCCGGATAGCGTATTACACGCAAGCATCCGCGAAGTTACATCGGATAAGGTTGCCGATAGCCAAGAAACGGAAGCTGAACGAATCGCCCACTCCGACTCAGCCGAGCCGCCTTCTCATCCTCTCAAGGATGATAGCTTGCAACTTTCAGTAAGTGATGCATCGGCTGGGACATTAGATGAAAATACACGCGAAGTTGTATCAGACCCTCTTTCTGGCAATCATGAGACGCCAGTTCAACACCACCCAGAAGCTGTCGAGCCGCCCTCTCAACCTCCACACGAAGATAGTTCTCAGCTTGTAGTGGGTGATGAAAAGCACGATGAGGTTGAGATATCGCGCAACGAAGTACGAGACTCTAGTGATGCGGCAGACGGTCCCGCCATCACACCTGTTTCACCTCAAGAACCTCTGCCTGATCACAATGAATTACCAACACTTCTATCGGCTGCACTGCCGACCCCGGAGCCGGCGGAATTCATTGAAGCGACAGCGTCGTCTGAAGCACAGGACGTCCCAACCCCTGCCCATTCTGAGCTACCGCATGAAGCATCGATTCCCGTCGACATCTTGGAGGAAGAAGTCTCAAGCCCTACTACCAAACCACTCACGGAAGCTGTTGTCATTGATCAATTGCTCCCCGTGCTAACTGAAAGGTTTGCAAAAGCTCTTAACATGTCAAAAATGGCTTTCATCTGATTACTAACTCGTGTTCAAATCATAGGCCTAGAAATCATACAACCGGTCATGCTGAAGAAGACGCAATCGAGCGGGCTACACCATCGAATCAAAGCATTCTGGACATTGTTGACCAGGTTTCGGGTCATACTGAAATTGAAGAAAGACCTTCTCACCCAAGCCCAACGGATGAAGACTCGGCCGGATTATCTCAAGTTGCCCCTCAAAACATCCCGATCCCTGAAGATAGTACAAGGTTAGAAGAGCACGAGGACATCGGACTGGATGATTCTTTCAAAGACAACACTGGTCATGAAAATGCTATGATCACTTCCCCCACAACACTGGCACCCACTATTACTGCTCCCCCCGGTGATGGAATTGAGGCGATGCAGACTTCTGAAGCCCAAGCCATTGATTCCCAGAATGACGCGGTCCATCCCGCCGATGGTTTGGTCGAAGAAGCCACAAGCCTCAGCGAAAAGGCAGCTGAACAGATTATCAACCACGAAGTAGCCGAAGCGCTTTCTCAATCTCCTAAAGACAATAGTCCGCATCTGGTAGTGGGCAATGCCAACGAGGAAAAAGTTGAAATTCATTCTTCACACTTGAGCGATGTCAAGGACGCTGTCGGAGACCCAGCCAGTCCCACTGAAGAAATCCCCAGCAACGATTTACTTGCAGATGACCCTAACCTCAAATCCCAACCAGCCCAAGCGCTTGTTGCCACGGAACCGCCTTCAGTGGAAACTAAAAAGTCAGTCAAGGCTCCTAACACATTATCAATGCTTCAAATGGATTACTGATTATTTTTCTTCTTGCAGTCTCGAAGAACTTACAGGAAAGGGTACAACCGAGTCGTCTGAGCCAACAGATGAATCGACCAGTCCATCTCTGGCTACTGATAGACTTTTAGTGGAGACTGAAGGGTTTGTTAATTTCCCATATTCTTTTGATCCAGTCATTGATAAGATTTCAAACTGCAGGCCAGAACGTCATACAATCGAACACGCAGAAACTGAAATCCACGCGGTGGCAGCTGAACAAATTCCCAACTCCCCAGCCAAAGTGCCCTCTCATCCTCAAACCGATGATATCACACAAATCATCTCGAGTGATCCGAAGGACGAAATGGTTGGAACCCCCTCCAAGCGATTTCAAGATCCCAGTGGTGCAGAAGAGGTCCGCTCAACCACGACGGCTCCACCTGAGCAACTTCAACCCGCTATTAGTCAAGAGTCAACCATCCAACCAACCCTAGCGCCGGCCGCCCAACCGACACCAGGGCCAGTGGATGCTACTGACGGAATAAAGGCGCCTGGAGCTCAAGTCCTTCATTCTACAATCGCAGAAACTGACACGGGTCCAGCCCAATCTGAGATTAACACTGAAGCGGAGCTCACTGTCAAGAGTTCGGCTGAAAATGCGCCGAGCAGCAGTCTAAGTTCCGAATTACCTCAAGACAATGCCGTTTTGGATCAACAGATTTCAGCGGAAACCGGAAGGTCAGTCGCACTCAACATTCTTTGTATGAGATGAATAGTGTACTCATTTAATATCTGAACTTTAGCCTCGAACATCATCCAACCAAGCCGCCCATGCCGTTTGATGCAACTGAATCCATCGCCCCCCCAGTCAATGTCAAAGACACGATACCGTCTTCTGAAGTAGAAGTCCAGGCCAACGACAAGGTTTCGGGCAACACTGCAATTGAAACCAATCCTTTGCAGCCGATCCTCAGCAATGGAGACTTGGCCGGATTTTCGCCAGTTCCCCCTCAAGATGTCCCAATCCCGGAAAGCAAGGCAAGCGTAGCACCTCAAGATATCCCGATCCCAGAGAGCAAGGCAAGTATGACTGAGCCCGAGACAGGCAAACAGGATGATTCCTTGAGACTTGATTTGGGGCACGCAGACACCGCACCACCTTCTCCCCTCGATAAGTCTTCTCCAGAAGGTCACGAATCAATCTCAGCTCTCGGTAGCTCTGAATCAGTCGTTGCGCCTGTTGATGCTACTGAGACAACATCGGCATCTGTAGCCCAGACCATCCAACCAAGCGGGGATCGGCAGCTACAAATTGAAATTGAAAGGTGAGCAAACAATCCACACATTGCAACTTGCCAAAATTACTGATTTTAAGTTTTGAAAACAGCCTTGACAACCACGACATGGAACAAGCGCTTCAACTGCCGCGATCACCAGAAGAATTAGAGTCAAAGCCCACAACTGACCTTGAAGTATCCCGTGAGGGAGTTCCTCATGGTAAGTCTGGCTCTTCATTGAACAGGTTCCGCCTTACCAAATACTTCAAACCTGTTAATCTCTCTTGATTTTTATTAGATGGAACGCAGGATTCAGAGTCAACCTCTATAGATGCCGAAGCAGCTCCTCAAGAGGCTGAGCCAGCTCCTCAAGAGGCTGAGCCAGTTCCTCAAGAATCCAAGCCAGCTCCTCAAGAAACCGAGCTATCTCCTCAAGAATCTGAGTCAGCTCCTCTAGAGGCCGAGTCAGCTCCTCAAGAATCCGGGTCAGCTCCTCAAGAATCCAAGCCAGTTCCTGAAGAATCCGAGTCAGCTCCTCAAGAACCCGAGCCAGCTCCTCAAGACTCACAGCCAGCTCCTCAAGAACCTGAGTCAGCTCCTCAAGACCCCCAGCCAGCTCTTCAAGAGGCTCAGACAGCTCCTCAACAATCCGAGTCAGCTCCTCGAGAGGCCGAGCCAGTTCCTCAGGAATCTGAGCCAGCTCCTCAAGAACCTGAGTCAGCTCCTCAAGAACCCAAGTCAACTCCTCAAGACTCACAGCCAGCTCCCCAAGAGGCTGAGACAGCTCCTCAACCATCCGAGTCAGCTCCTCGAGAGGCCGAGCCATTTCCTCAGGAATCCGAGCCAGCTCCTCAAGAACCTGAGCCAGCTCCTCAAGAACCTGAGACAGCTCCTCAAGAATCCGAGCCAGCTCCTCAAGAAACTGAGTCAGCTCTTCAAGAATCCGAGTCAGCTCCTCAAGAACCTGAATCAGTTCCTCAGGAGGCCGAGTCAGCTCCTCAAGACCCCCAGCCAGCTCTTCAAGAATCTGAGACAGCTCCTCAAGAATCTGAGCCAGCTCCTCAAGAATCCGAGTCAGCTCCTCAAGAGGCCAACCCAGTTCCTCAAGCTTCCGAGCCAGCTCCTCAAGAACCCGAGTCAACTCCTCACGACTCACAGCCAGCTCCTCAAGAGGCTGAGACAGCTCCTCACCAGCCAGCTCCTCAAGAATCTGAGACAGCTCCTCAAGAACCTCAGTCAGCTCCTCCAGACACCCAGCCAGCTCCTCAAGAGGCCGAGTCAGCTCCTCAAGACTCACAGCCAGCTCCTCAAGAGGCTGAGGCAGCTCCTCAAGAATCCGAGCCAGCTCCTCAAGAGGCCGAGCCAGTTCCTCAAGAATCCGAGTCAGCTCCTCAAGAACCTGAATCAGCTCCTCAGGAGGCCAAGTCAGCTCCTCAAGACTCCCAGCCAGCTCTTCAAGAATTTGAGACAGCTCCTCAAGAATCCGAGCCAGCTCCTCAAGAATCCGAGTCAGCTCCTCAAGAGGCCGAGTCAGTTCCTCAAGAATCCGAGTCAGCTCCTCAAGAACCTGAATCAGCTCCTCAGGAGGCCGAGTCAGCTCCTCAAGACCCCCAGCCAGCTCTTCAAGAATTTGAGACAGCTCCTCAAGAATCCGAGCCAGCCCCTCAAGAATCTGAGTCAGCTCCTCAAGAGGCAGAGCCAGTCCCTCAAGAATCTGAGCCAGCTCCTCAAGAACCTGAGCCAGCTCCCCAAGAACCTGAGACAGCTCCTCAAGAATCTGAGCCAGCTCCTCAAGAGGCTGAGACAGCTCCTCAAGAATCCGAGTCAGCCCCTCAAGAACCTGAATCAGCTCCTCAGGAGGCTGAGTCAGCTCCTCAAGACCCCCAGCCAGCTCTTCAAGAATCTGAGACAGCTCCTCAAGAATCCGAGCCAGCCCCTCAAGAATCCGAGTCAGCTCCTCAAGAGGCCGACCCAGTTCCTCAAGAATCCGAGCCAGCTCCTCAAGAACCCGAGTCAACTCCTCATGACTCACAGCCAGCTCCTCAAGAGGCTGAGACAGCTCCTCAAGAATCTGAGCCAGCTCCTCAAGAAACTGAGTCAGCTCCTCAAGAGGCTGAGTCAGCTCCTCAAGAATCTGAGACAGCTCATCAAGAACCTCAGTCAGCTCCTCAAGACACCCAGCCAGCTCCTCAAGAGGCCAAGTCAGCTCCTCAAGACTCACAGCCAGCTCCTCAAGAGGCCGAGTCAGCTCCTCAAGAATCCGAGTCAGCTCCTCAAGAACCTGAGTCAGCTCCTCAAGAGGCTGAGTCAGCTCCTCAAGACCCCCAGCCAGCTCCTCAAGAATCCGAGCCAGCCCCTCAAGAATCCGAGTCAGCTCCTCAAGAGGCCGAGCCAGTTCCTCAAGAATCCGAGCTAGCTCCTCAAGAACCCGAGTCAACTCCTCAAGACTCACAGCCAGCTCCTCAAGAGGCTGAGGCAGCTCCTCAAGAATCCGAGCCAGCTCCTCAAGAATCTGAGCCAGCTCCTCAAGAAACCAAGTCAGCTCCTCAAGAGGCCGAGCCAGTTCCTCAAGAATCCGAGCTAGCTCCTCAAGAACCCAAGTCAACTCCTCAAGACTCACAGCCAGCTCCTCAAGAGGCTGAGGCAGCTCCTCAAGAATCCGAGCCAGCTCCTCAAGAATCCGAGCCAGCTCCTCAAGAACCTGAGTCAGCTCCTCAAGAGGCTGAGCCAGCTCCTCAAGAGCTTGATCCAGCTCCTCAAGACACCCAGCCAGCTCCTCAAGAGGCTGAGTCAGCTCCTCAAGACTCACAGCCAGCTCCTCAAGACTCACAGCCAGCTCCTCAAGAGGCTGAGACAGCTCCTCAAGAATCCGAGTCAGCTCCTCAAGAATCCGAGCCAGCTTCTCAAGAACCTGAGACAGCTCCTCGAGAGGCCGAGTCAGCTCCTCAAGAATCCGGGCCAGCTCCTCAAGAATCCAAGCCAGTTCCTGAAGTACCCGAGTCAGCTTCTCAAGAGGCCGAGTCAGCTCCTCAAGAGGCTGAGCCAGCTCCTCAAGAATCCAAGCCAGCTCATCATGAACCTGAGTCAGCTTCTCAAGAACCTGAGTCAGCTCCTCAAGACCCCCAGCCAGCTCCTCAAGATCCCCAGCCAGCTCTTGAAGAACCTGAGTCAACTCCTCAAGAATCCGAGCCAGCTCCTCAAGAGGCTGAGTCAGCTCCTCAAGAGGCCGAGCAAGAATCCGAGTCAGCTCCTCAAGAAGCAGAGCCATCTCCTCAAGAACCCAAGTCAGCTCCCCAAGAGGCTGAGCCAGCTCCTCAAGAATCCGAGCCAGCTCCTCAAGAGGCCGAGTCAGCTCCCCAAGAATCTGAGTCAGGTCCTCAAGAATCCGAGTCAGCTCCTCAAGAGCTGGACCCAACTCCCCAAGAGCCGCTTGTCAATGCAGCAGTCGGTATGAAGCCAGCACTAACTCCAAAGACCCTCAGTGAATTGCATCTTGCCACATTCCTAAGTACACCACCGGTATCCTCGACATCCGTACCCCAGCCCCCTATCAACCTGTCTGCTAACGGAAAGGCTTGGCCTGCTGCGCCTGCTGTATCAAATGTTCATCGAGAAGTTATTCTTCCAGCCAGGATGAAAAAGATAAGCACGATATCGACTAGTTCAGCGCGCACACTTTTCATGAAGGATCTGGCCACCTTTGCATTTCCCTTCTCTCCCCCTCAGCCTCTAACTCGGAAACCCGTGATCAACAGTGAGGCCCCAACTACAAGTCCAACTGGCCCTACATCCCCTCCCCCACGTGCGCCGCAACCTCATCATCAGAACACTTCCTCGTCGCCATCTACCAGAGCCAAATCAATCAGCAGCAGACATAAACTCATCAAGCCTTACCCAAGTCTTAAGCGCACACGCGCTACGGAAAGCCCCGATCATCGATCGCGACGATCAAGTTACCGTTCTTTCACTTTTCTCAACACGATTGCTCCTCAGGCGACTGATGGGGCTAGGGGAGTACATAGAACCAGATCAATCAAGATGAGTGAATTCGGCCTGGGGCATAAGTCACACAAGAGACGTTCGGCGCGACCAGAACAAAACAACGATCTAGGAGATGCGTTTGCTATCATTGAGATGAGTGACGCTATGCCCTACACCCCAAGGTCTGATCGATACGTCAACCCAACCATCAGCCGCCGACTGAGTACTTCTGTGAAAGACATTCGTGAGTAGTCTTGTATTTCCTTCTGCTTTGTACCAAATACTGAATCTGAATTTGAATTTAGTTCACAAGCGCAACAATCGCCACAATCTTTTGGGGAAGTCTCCGCTGGATGATGTGTATCTTGCCGAAGGTGAGTTTTTATCCTGCATGCAACGAGTTCCAGTTCTCTGATACATTCCAGCACTCAGATTTCCACTTCGACATGGAAAGAGAACTTGCAAATCTGCCCGAGTCCCTTTCAGAAGAGGAATGTACGTCCCAGTAAAGAATTTGACTCATGTTGCCTGAAGAGGTTCACTGACATGGACATGTACCTTTGATTTGTTCTCCTTTTGGCTTCCAGTCCAAACAGTGGAAATTGCAACTGCTGGCCCCTCAGGTTAGTCACACTGCAATTCAGCAAACATTGATCAGTTTTGATTTTTGTAATTTTTCACATTTGATTAGTGCCACGAGACAATCAAAGTCGGCTCGAAGACCACAATGTTCGGCGGAGTGTTGAAACAAATCAAAGCACTAAGCCAAGCGCTAGCGACGATCGCAAAGGAAAAAAACACCGCCGGGTGAGATCAAAGTTGGCAGAGGCTACAATTTCAATTGCTGATAAAAGTATGTTTTAGTATTACATGTCCATGCCGAGCATCATCTGGCTAACTCTTTCTTCCGTATTTTGTAGTCATAAGAAACTAGTCCCATATTCCCATTTTCCGCCTGAAACATCAACATCCCTCAACTGCTTCCCAATTGAATAACATAATAATAAGGCTGGTTTATTCCCACATCTTTCATATTTGATCAAATCCTTTATACACGAGTAAACATCGAAATCTCAGTCTATACTCTTAGTTGATTCATTTGGTTTCCATGTCGTTCTCTCCGGCTGTTGCGCATCTGTTACTCATACGGCATTTTACTTCGTATTCTGATGTAAAAGTTGTTAAAATATTTCAACCGACTCATTCTTCATTGTCGTGCATTCACATTTGTCCTTCAGCCCTTGTCATTTTTCCCATTCCAACTGCCCATCAATGTTTTTTGGTAACAATTGTATTCTTCGCCCTCTAAATTGGGTAATTTTTGCTTGTTTATACGTAACACTCTTTAGCTGAATTCCATTCACATATATCGTTTTTCTCAACACTCGTTTATGTTGCATCCATCGTTGTTTTTTAGTAATGCATTACATTTGGTTTGTCTTAGCATCAATCACAATACAGGATTTTTAATCAGTTGCTACAACGGTGTGACTTTCAATTAGACATCCATCAGGGAGCACCGATGCAGAATTGCCAAATTCCATCACATCTCAGTTCAGAAAGACTTTGAGTTGAATCCGAGATGTCTACCACTCAGATTTTACCTTTGCATAGCTGTCTTTTGTGCAGGTGCTAGCTTTCATACAGCTATTGCATATTGAAATCAAAATTCCTCTGCACAAACTTGTCCAACAATTCAACCCATTCCACTAGCTCATTAAATAGTTGATTTCTGACAAGACATGTATGGTTGAATAGAGATGAGAAATGCTTTACACAGCCATATATAGATGGTTGAAAATAGAGATGGATGTCACTCAGCTACACTTTCACAGCTAGAGGTCAGATGCCCAAAAAAAGGAAATGACAGGACTATTATTTCTAATTTTTGAGGGAGCCACACCTTTGAGGAAAGCAAAGCGGGGTTATATTTGAGCATCTGAACACAGATAACATAATCAGGGGAACCAAAAAAATCCTCCGGGAATCATGTTTGGGTACATTGTAGGTCCATAAGTGCTTTCTCTTTTTTTTTCAATATCTGTTTCAATACTATTTTTTGTTTTGTATCCTGAATTATGACTCTACATGATTTGTTTCTGGTGTAAGTTTGATTTTAAATTGATTTCTTTGATTGAGGAGAAAGAAGATCAAACCACTTTGAGGCGATCATCAAGGATATGGTAATCAAGTGTCCTGGATTTTCAAGAAGATTGACAATACAAAACTGAACTGTACCCAAATTCACTGCATCTGAAATCTGGATTTGTGTCTTGCCAAAAAGACTAATTTCATTTTTGCAATTGAAAACCTCTTCATGTAGCCACTGAAGGAGTTTCTGATAGTCAGAGTAAGGGGTCTCATTTGTATTGAAATAGCCCCATAGGGCATTGTGGATGTAATATAGACTTAAGTGTAAACTGTTGAAAGCCTTCAGCAGTTGTTCAGGGCTGTAAAAATTCCCCTTCAACTGATAGGGAAGTATCAATGATTTGTAAACTCCAGAATGGACAGATGAGTGATCTGGAGCATGAACATTCTCCAGTGTGACCATGAGAAGGCCAACAGGCCAATTTCCAATCTTCTTTACTTCCACCCAAGAATTTGATAGCACCAGAAATTCCTGATATACGTTATTGATGGCCGATCTACAGCGTTCTTGGTAATGATAAATTAAATTGTACAGTGGTAGCTCTTGCATGTTTCCTTGGAGATCATTCAAGGGCCAATTGGGACTGCCTGAAAAAACCGCTTTCAATCTTTCTGAAAAGCTATGGGCTGGCTGATGAAAAAGGCTATGAAGTTGGACCTGCTTGAAGAATTCCGCTCCCAAGTAGGGACGAGTAGTTTTACGATCATGTTTGTGGTTCGTATGAGTAGATTCATCATCCAGTTTTTCTTTTTGTTTCTCGCTTTTGTGGCTCTCTGGCTGTTCATTGTCAAAATCAAGTCTCACCAGATTACTCTCGTCATTGAAAAAGTCTTCTAACCAATCCATGTCGGACTCAGTAGATGATGTGGTAAGTGGGTTCAAATCGGAAGTGCTAAAGTGGTTAACTTGTTCTTGAGAGCTTCCTGCTTCACTGATAGCGGACAGACTGCTACCAAAAACTTGCGCGTCGATTCCAACTCCAGTATGTGGATGGAAATGGGAAGTCTCAGCAGGTTGACCAGCTTGTCTTAGATTCTGGATAGGTATAGACTGGTCATAGCGTACTCGTTTTGATTGTTCGATATGACTGGCCTGTGTCGGTTGCTCATACATACCAGCCGGCGCAAGTTCAACTGGATTCATGTAAGAGCTTAATTCTGGATGGGTGGGTGACATGGTCATCAAGACATTTGGTTCTAAGGCGGGACTACTGGGGTAATCCCATTGCCCTCGCTTCAAGGGGTTTACTAGGTCACGGGAAGCTTGGCGTAAAGTTGCACTTTGGCCTAATTGTCTTGCCATCTGGTTCAAGTAATCCTCTGGGAAGGGCGCACCCACAGAAAACTGAAATATGCCGAGAAGCAGAGATAGTAAATGTAACAGCATGTTGAACGAGGTAGGATATCGATTGGTTGGTAGGTGATGGTCCTAATGAATGCTCTCTTCTTAGCACGGTGCAGTCAAAGAATTCTAGATTTTCTATCAGTCGCAACTTGCCCCTACTTAAATACTTTGCTCGGCAGTCTCCCCACAACACGATTTGCTTCGCGGGCGGCCAGAGTCTGTAAATGCTGTGACACAAAAATCCTTCACTCACTCTCGGCGGCCAGATTGAACGCTAAAAATCAGAGCCGGCAGTCATACTCATGCCCATGCCATGGGCAGTATGCCTACACAGCAGGACCACTACGTAAGCATTTGAAACATGCAGACACCACCACAGCGAGCCGGCATGTATTTAGATCCGCAGGTCCTCTTTATATGACCCTGTACTAGTAGGGCAGAGTATCTAAATATGTAGAGCGCCATCAGGATCCAGCACGACCTCGTAAGACTGGAAAGTCACTGGGCAGCTCACCGCGCGCGCTCGCCAAGACGCATGTTGCGACACGTCGATCCCACCTCGGAACGATGTGCCATCGTTGTTTAAATTAGCCGCGGAGCCGGAACGTCGAGATTGCGCATGTCCATCAAGCGGAGCAGACGAACTTCCCTTCGGGCCCTGACGGAAGAGGGAAGTCCTTTATGACGAGGCACATGGTCATTTGAGACGTTTCGCCATACACGACCGGCCAAGAGCTGGTCTCAGTCGAACCGGAGATATAAGGGAAGCTTTCACAGCTATACATCACTCTGCACAGCTCCTCGACGGAAAGTCTAAAAGAACCGAGCCCCCACGTGCTGAACTTCAAGTTACACTAACACCAGGGTTCAGTTACACGTTTTTCGTAACCGAACTCCTATGCGCCGCAAGCGGCTTCAGCATGTAGGATGGACATAGATCAACGGACATCGTATCTTCAACCAGATGATCCCGCTTGCAGCTCGACGTATAAGTGTCAATGATGACCTGGCATTCAATTTCTGAGGTGATAAAACCTTCAAACCCGTTAATTTGGTTTGCTTACATCCACGCAGGCCGTGTTGATGGTATTGCTCCTACTTTAGAAAGTAAAGTTTGAAAGCCATCATGATGCAGTGGACCCTCTGCGGCCGCATGCAGAGAAGAAGATTAATAATAATAGAAGAAAAAAGCCAATAATCATTTGGTCACAATGACATAGACACTTATAGAAAAGTCTGGACAGGTCAAGACTTACAGGGATTGCAACCGGCAGTGGATAAATGTTATGAAGTATCCATAAGTTTGGACAGCTTTACAATTCTTGACCTTTGAGCCCAAAAAGCTACAAGTACTACCACTGGCACACTCACAGATTATTTCTCATTTTTAGGACAAAGCACAATGACACAGCTGCTGTGTCCAACCACTATTCTATCTCAGATTTTGAAGTATTGAAGCTCTGATAATTGTAGCCAAACTAGAGATCGTTCGTCGGTACCCGTTGCTAGGTACCTAGTACCGCTCGGCGGGTACCGCCCGCACCCGCCTCGCACCCGCCAGGCGGTGCCGGGTGCGGTGCCGGGTGCCGGTTTTTTGGCAAAAACAAGGCGGTACCCGGGTACCGCTGCGGGTACCGCCTTATATCCCTAACATAGGGGCATGGTCATGGAGGGGTGAAACCCTCCATGACAAAGGTTCTCTGTCATGGAGGAGTGAAACCTCCATGACTGAGGATATATCCTCGGTCATGGAGGAGTGAAACCTCCATGACTGAGTATGTATCCTCGGTCATGGAGGATTTAACTCCTCCATGACCGAGCGGCGAGGATACACCCTCGGTCATGGAGGATTTGACTCCTCCATGACCAAGGATACACCCTCGGTCATGGAGGATTTGACTCCTCCATGACCAAGGATACACCCTCGGTCATGGAGGCTTTGACTCCTCCATGACCAAGCACCTCGGTCATGGAGGATTTGACTCCTCCATGACCGAGGATACACACTCGGTCATGGTTTTTTTCAGCTTCTTGCTGATGTTTCTCTTATTCTATTGTTCTGTTTTTTAACTTTCCTTTTGGACTTTTATGAGCAACTTGCTGATGTTTTTTTTTTTTGCTTTTTTTTAATAATTTTTTGGAACTTTTATAGGTAACTCTTGCTGCATTTTTTTCAGCACTTTGCTGATGTTTCTTTTCTGTTTTATTTTTTTTTCTTCTGGATTTTATTCTTCCAATTAGTTATTAGTTGTAGATAGATAAATATGAAAAAAAAGAAAAAAAAAAAGTGACTTGTCTGGCAGTGTCAAGTGAAATCAATAATTTTCAACAAAATGAAAAAGTGACTTGCAACTCTGGGAGTGACCACCAAAAATAATAAATAAATATGAAAAAATGAAAACAAGTGACTAAAAAATGAAAAAAAAAGAATTGGGACTCTGGGAGAGAAAATAATAAATGTGAAAAAGATACAAAAAGTGAATTGGGACTGTGGGAGTGAATCTAGGTGAGAAAAAGAGGGGGGGTACCCGCGGTACCCGCCAAAAGTACCGCCGGTACCCGCCAGGAGGTGCCTGGTGCGGTACTTGGTACCTATTTTCTGAAAAAATTCAACAGGTACCTAGGTACCAACAGGTACCCGAGTACAAACGAACGATCTCTAAGCCAAACCCTAATTTTAGAATTTGAAGATACATAAAGTTGGTTCAATTTCAACACTGCTCTTTAAACAATGAATACAGAATGATTCAGCAGTATTGGCAGCCATTATTTTTGTCAAGAGCTTCTTGGAAACAGCTTAAGGTTGTTGGATCTTTGACTAATTAGCACTGAGCAGTGACCTATGACATGAGTGGCCTCTGGCAAGTACTCACTCAGCTATAGCTTCAAAAAATCCATCAAAATTCTAAAAATTGGATAGTCACCTTTGTTTGCTAGAGTTGCTTTGATCTAATTTCAAGAAGGCTCTTGATGTGAGTCACTCTGAAACTTGAAATTATCAAGAAACACCAATCAACCTTACATGATGGCCCTTCAGGAACCTGGCAAGCCTCCTAATAGAGGGGCTCACAATTAAACTTCAGAGCTAGTTTCAAGGTGTTGATGAGCATCATTTTAAAATTTTTGTTTTTCAGATTGAGTGGTTTCTGAATTTTCTGCCCATCACAAAAACTTTATAGGTTTTTGATCAGAAACAGTTTAAAAATGGCTTTCAATTTCAATTTTGAACCTCCCTCATAGGCAGGTGTCAAAAAATGTATGAGAAATTGGCCAAACCCCAAAACTCATACACTTGAAAAAGGGTAGTAATTGACAATTGTTCACCAAATGGTTGAAAAAGTCCACTTTGAGCATGCAAAACCACCCAAACCTGGTCCAAACCTTGATTTTAGCCCTGGCCATGAGATTTTGTTTCTTTTTTGCCCTTTTTTGATGCAATCTTTGCTCATGGTTTGAGAAATTGAGTCAGGTATTGAGTAACCCAAAAAAGGAGGGTGTCAACCTTAGAGATACTCCATAGTATCCAAAAGACTGCCAAATTAATAAATATTCAATACTCAATATGTAATAAATCATGTAACATTCAAATAACTAAGAATATTATTTCATAAAACAACATTTCATAAGATTTTGATTTCTAAATGGGGTTGCCCACTGGAAGTATTCCCAAATTCCTACTCCTTCAAGGACTTTGTATAAATTCAAGTCCTTGAAGGACAAAAGGAATATATCATATGAATCTAGTTTTAAAATATATAGAATAAAATTAATGTATATTGAATTAGGGTTAAATATACATTTAAGGTAACCTTGGAAATTTTATTCTACAAGCATACTCAATTATTTAAACTTGCAGAAAGAAATCACCACACTATGTCAAGAGTGTGGCACCTTCTAGTAGTATATTGATTCTATTTCAAGAAAATACATGATTTAATTGGCTATAAATATGCATCATTATGTCATGGGACATAGAAAAATTGAAATATTTTATTTGAAATACCATGAATTGTTCCATTACATCTGTCAGCCTCTATGCTACTAACCTGAGTGGGTTGTGCTATGAGTGTTAACAAGAAGTGTAAAAAGTGATGGTTTATTCGTGGTAAAAATCCCTCAACCTGTAGAAGAAACAGGGAGGAGTCAGTGAGGAATGGTACTTCTACTGCTGACTCATCCAATTATTCAATTGGGCATCCAGATCAATCCTGTTACGTGGATTAATAGGCTTCCAATGTGAGGAATTCTTCTACTCACTTGGGATCAAGTCTTTTAACAACAATCCAGATGAATAAGTGTATGTACACTTAAGGACCAGAATTGTTTAACCAGGGGGATAATTCTTCATGCAATGGTAGGGTTGCGACCCGGCCCCTGATTTGCGTGGCAGATACCCGGTCGGATACCGGGTTCCGACGAGATCAAGGACAACCAAAGAGACACTTTCTATTGAATTGGATAGCCGATTACAAGAGTCTGCTATCTGAGTACCATCTATCTCTGTGAAGAGAGGTGTGGTCAATTGATTCCTGGATCCGAAACGGCCAGGTCGCAACCTTAGCAATAGAGATAAGTAGAAATGCCTTGAATCTGAGCAAAGTAAATCTATTTAGGTCTAAGGTATCTGGATTGTAATGTTATTGGTGGGTTGAATCACTAATAATCACAGTACAAGTGTTGGTTTGATGCTACTAGAATTTCCTGGGGGGAAAAGGTAGGAATCAGGGCTCCTTAAATATTCTACAGGGGGCTCAGGGGAAGAGGAGAGGCCCTCAGGGCACTATGGAGCTTCTTAGCAGCTCTAAAATTTTGTGTAAGGATGGGAGCTGCAGCTGTGCAGTGCTATGCATGGGTGGAAGTTCCTAGGACATGAGATAATACATGCATAATTGAGTTTTGTGGCCTATTTCTCACGTAATTGAAAAGGCTACAGTTACTGTGCAGGGGCTGTGCAATTGTGGAGTTAGTTGCATACATGTAACTCTGCTTATGCAAGCTTGTGATCATGAGAAATGCATGTCCTTCATGCATAATTCAGTCTTGCATGTAGAATTTGGGCTCCTTTCCCGTGTAGGCTGCTTTGAATTATGCAAGCTTTGAATTAGAGCACAAAAGGGTCCTGATGGCGCCATCCAAGAGGGTTATGATGCAATCTGATGCCCTGAT